CTAGTCCCTGGTTTTTCATCACACACAGTTCTACCACGTCATTTCCCAATCTGGACGGATTGAAGTTATATAATCATCGAAAAAAAGTTAGAAAATCTTCACCGTTTTTGTCCCTCGCCATGGCGAATAAGGCCTTCGTTTTGGCCATTTTCGCTGAGCCCTGAGGGCCACAGGCTCAGACCTACAGAGCTGAGACTCACATCAGTAATATTAGGTTATGGCCTGAACGCAATGACACTAAAATCATTCGCCCAATTTGAGCTCTTTAGCGCCACCTGTCGGAAAGTAATAGGGCACTAGTGCTCGGATCGGCCCGAAAATCGCTGAGTGTATTCTCTGGACCGAGACGAGCAAAACATTACATTACGCAAAAGTTGTACGTCCCACACCTGACCACCGGGGGCGCCTGAAAGTGAATAAAAGAGCTTTTTTAGGGCAAAATGTTTGTCCGATGAGGCTAAAAATGAATAGAGTAATACAGCGTATGACCCTGAACACAACGATATACAACACACAACTGTGAGTGCAACAGCGCCACCTACAGGCAGTTCAAGTTGTCGCATGTTTGGCTTCGTACTAGTCCTTGGATTTTCATCGCACAGACTTCTACCATGTCATTTCCTAATCTGGATGGATTGAAGTTATATAATCATCGCAAAACAGTTAGAAAATCTTCACCGTTTTCGTGCAAGTAAGCAGTTTTTTTCATATAGTTGTATTACACTCAGAGCTACAATACCCGACCTGACCACCAGGGGCGCACCTCTTGCCTAAATACAAATTATAGTGAAACATGCTGCTGATTAACACAAAGGAGAGATGCATGTACCAGGTTATAGCAAAGCTAATTTCCACCTGTAGTCCCTGGGCAGGCTAGTGTTATGTTATGTATCAAGGCTTCAAGTTAGTACTAATAATACAATGGATGATACATCTCACAACAGCTGTGTGGCGCAGACGGTATATGACGGACTCCGAAGCAGAAAATGTATCGTTTGAGTCCTGGTCTACCCATAATAACTTTTGTGTTGCAAAGTAAATGTATTTATTTATTGGGAATAAATGGTTTGTTGTGTTTAATTAATCCACCTCTTGGTAGTTTTTCCTCCATTAATCACTTTCTGTAGAACTGTATTACGTGAAAATACACACTAATATTACCTCTAGACCGCCACCTATGGGAGGCTTTGAACCAAACATTATACTGCATCAAAGTCACCGGGTCAAATCTTTACATCCATACAAGCAAAAATGTTACACCACGCAGAGGGTGCATGTCCCACTGATGACCACTAGGGGTGAACTATAGCCTGCTCTCTTTGCCATAGGCTCAGATTACAAAGCTGAGACTCACATCAGTATTATTAGGTTATTATTAGATTAACGCAATGACACTAAAATACATTTCCCAATATGAGGTCTCTGTCGGAAAGCAATAGGGTACAAGGTGTTGTCGTTTTGAATTTCATCTAGTCCCTGGTTTTTCATCGCAGAGACTTCCACCACATAAAGACGCGCGTCTGGGCAGACTGCACATAACAGCAGCATGATTTGTATTTTTTACTATTTTCATGAACATTTACAATGTTACAGTCTGTGTTCTGTGTATGTTCATGTATTAGTGATCAATATATGTCTGTTTAAAAAAAAAAAAGATGTCTAGTTTGCATCATAGATGATTGAATAATACTTATGAATACTGTATGAAAGGATCTATGCAATAAAAGTATCCCTTACAGATTGTAATTGTCATTAAATAATATTTGACTTCATATAACAGGAGTAATGTATTGTGTATGTATGGTTTTTGTGTAGTTACAATATGTAACTGTCATTTAATCCAATGCTTTTTAATTACTATACTATATGTCAAATTGCAATACAAATAAGCATGGTCCGCAGTTCACGGCGAATCTCAGCAGACTTCCGCCGCGGATACTTTTTGCTAGTAGGGTTAGGTCTTTATTGCTTTTAATTCTTTTTACTTGTTTTTTATGTGTTTATAATAAATTGTTTTTTATTCCAGTGATCTCCTTTTAGTCCAAAGAACCTGTTTTTCCACTTCCGACAAATAGAAGCGCTGAACAAAACAGAACAAAACAGATTGATGAATGGATATTACAATGACGAGATATCACAGTTGTTTCCACACATGTTTGTGGACCACACCTCAATGAACGCATATTATAATGTTAATTGACCCATCAGATTCTCAATAGTGCTTCCAATGAACAAAAGAAGACTAGTAGTCTTTAGCATTTGACCCACCCTTTTATGCTAAGACACAAATTCAGTCCAAACAGTAGTTTAATATCAGTCATTTCCAATGAGAAATTTTTACTTTGTATACAATAGATTAACAACAGCAATATACAGCTATTTTGAATACACCGAATTATTCTGTGAACTGATTTTGTCACGTTTTCTGCTATTCACAAATGAACCCATCACTTGTGTTATTCACTAATTTCATAGTATTTGATGGTCAGTCAAATCATTGCATGGAATTTGATTGAACACATTAGTGCTATTTAAGCAGAGGCGTGGCAATATATTACAATAGTTCTAATGCATGTTAACTGTTGGTTCACTTTGGCATATTTATAATCTGTTTTTTGCTGTCCATTTGATGTAAATCTCCCTGTCACAACAATGTAAAAGTGCACTCATTCCGAGTCAAAATGCTCTTTTTCTGTGGCGTGTACAGTTGTGGCAACTTCTCATATCAAGTGGGGAACTTATGGAGTCTCTATTTCGCTCAAATTTATTTCACTAACGGGTTTGATTTTTAGGAAAATGCCTAATAAGGAACGGAAGAAATGCGTTAGCTTTAGCCTGCATAGCATGTGTGCAACTCTGACCAATCAGCGCTCACGCTGTAGGCGTGGCCTACACGGCCTGGCTTTAACCTTTAAAGCTAGTATTTTGGTGACGGTCTTCACTCGTCTTATTGCTCGTCAAGAGAGGAGAACTTTCTCTTCTCTTCTCTTCTAAGAACAACGATAAAGTAAGTGTCTCTTCTTTCATTTGGCTTTTGTATATACTGGCTGACTTTGTTATGCGTTTATGCCTGATTCTGCTGAGAATCTGCTGCTCCGAGGGACAGGAAGCTACATGTGTAACAAAGCTAAAGGCAGGCTTTACAATCAGTCTTCTCACATATAATCTAGACATTGTGTTATGAGAGTCATTGTTCATCGTTATTCCCACGACTGTGAGGTCCAGGGTAATGTCTGAAGTTGTATTCGAGCTTTGTGCCCCCAGGACGCTGCGTTCGTAGCAGCCCCCGCTGTTAGCTTACTGCTGTTAGCTTACTGCTGTTAGCTTACTGCTGTTAGCTTACTGCTGTTAGCTTACTGCTGTTAGCTTACTGCTGTTAGCTTACTGCTGTTAGCTTACTGCTGTTAGCTTACTGCTGTTAGCTTACTGCTGTTAGCTTACTGCTGTTAGCTTAACGCTATGGAGCTCCCCCAGTCCGAACTTTTTGTTTACAGCTCAACATATCACCAAAATGACAATAAAGGGTCATATTTCTTGCCTCAAATGTTATTGAAAGTAGCATTTGTGCCCTATTTATAGCATTATTGATCAGAACTATCATCTCAGACGTGGTTCTGTTGCTCCACTGTCGTCACTATAACAGCCGTAATCCTCCTCATTGTTGATAAAACTGGACACAAAAAATAAGAGTGATATTAAGCTGTGAAAAGCTTCTGTGGGTGCGTTTTCCTGCATCTCCCATTCTATTTAATAGGACAAAAATACTTCGCGAAGAAGTGAATGTGGCTTTGATGTTGTTTCACGTCCTTGACTCAGTGAGATATTATAACTTTAGCGCGTTTTCGTTGTCTCTGAGGCTGCGCTCACATGCACACAGGCCCCGTTAAAGATCAGATGGCCCTGAGTACGACTGTAAAGCCCATAACGGGGTCAATGTGAGTTGTGAACGATGGTCAAAAAGAGTAAATAAACATGTAAACCATTTGTGTTGTTATATACAGATTATATTATTGATTTGTGCTCATGTATCAAGGTTTATAACGAGAAATGGCGGAAAAATTGTTCAGAGAAAAACATACTTTTGGTAGCTGCACAGCTAGCGCCCAGATGCGTTTGGATTTACTGTCCCTTATTTGTTTAACTAATAATACATGTTTCAACGAGACTCTACTATGCACGGGCTATCTGCCAGTATTTTTTTCGCTAACCATTTCAACGATTTTTCAACAATTTTCGTAATAAACCTTGATACATATGTGCACAAATCAATATTATAATCTGTTTATAATAACACAAACTGTTTACATGTGTATTTACACTTTTTGACATGCGCAAACTGAACTTCCGGGACAAATCCAACAGCCACAAGGCACTCTACCGTGTCCTCTGCGTGCCTGCACACACACGCCCACTAAGCTGCTGCATATTGGGAGAGAATCTTAAACTAAACTCTGGTCCCCTTGTAGTCGCTGAAGTTTGTATTAGCGCCACCAGCTGGACCGAGCGTAGTACTACACAGCTTTTGGGCTGGCACGGTTTCTGTTTCTCTTCTCTTTTCCTGTTTACTTAATGGAGGTGCAGTGCCTTAGTGGGTAATGTTATCATTCGTGGACATTGATCTAACCATATGGACCGATACATATGGTTTTTTTTTTGTGTGTCTTAGCTGTTGATTCTCTGATCTGTGTTGGTGATTTCAATGGTTTTGTTAAGTCCTCTGAGATGACTGCTGTTGTGATTTAAGGCTATACAAGAATTGTAATGTTTTTGTTGTAATGTGTGCGAGCAAGTGAGTGACTGACACAGGAGCACGCCCTAGAGTAAGAGCTGAGAAATTAATCAATGAGATAAACGTAAAGATTGTCTAATACATGAGGCTTAGACAATCAAAATTAGAACCTGTTAGGAATTATTACCAGAATCACAGTCTATTGTTTGGGCATATACCTTCATGTAAATCATGCCTCTCCTTACTAATAATGCTGTGCTTATAATAACAGATGCCACGTACGAGAGCTGCACGGCGTTCTGCTACGGCAAAGGAAAGGAGAGGATGTCAGCTTGCTACTACGTTTGCTCTGCCTCCAAGAAAACCCAATGCCCGTAAGACTTCCCCTTCAATCATTATTATAATTATTCAATTATAATGTATTTCAAATTATTCACGATCTCAATGACATTGTGTGCATTTTAGGAAAAGGTTCTGGGGAACGATGCCTTGCTGGATCTTGGGATGAATCTGTTGTTCCCAATAAGAAACACAAACTGTTTGTTCCTTCCAAAGCAACAGGGAAAAAGGTACAACACAAATGTTAATTATACTTAATGAATCAACAAATGTTTCAACATGTAATATTTATTCCCAGTTGGTACTTTTTGCTGGTGACTCGCATCTACGTACCCTGGTCTTCAATCCATCCATCTTCCCTGAAGAGGAAAAGGCCACATATGAACTTGCTTTCTCGTGCACGCCCGGGGCTACTGCAAGACAGCTACAGCAGCAGGTTGCTAATGACCGAGAGACATTAAGGAATGCCCACAGAGGTAAGCATAGACTCAACATTGTAATAATACTAAAGTTATTCCCTGTTCAACATGACACATTCTGATCTTACAGAGCCATCACTGTTGTGTTTGTTGGCTCCTTCCAACATTCCAACGGAGCAACCAACTATGGAACAGGCTGTACAATCGTTTGCACACCTGTTAGAGTCTGTCAAAATGTACTGGCCACAGGTAAACAAAGAACAAAAACTGTAACTGATTTGTCAAAAGAAAACCACCATTTTTGTCTCATTCCATGTTTCATCTTCTAGATTTGCGTTTTGGATTTTCCACCACGTCTTAGCTTTGATGATGACTTCCAGGCAGCTCTTCGTCAAGCATATCACCGTGCAGCAGCTGAGTTGGGTTAGTAAATCTAACTGGTTTTGTTTATGTGCTTAATGACATCCATTCACCCTTTTAATTATTCTCTTTAATTACAGATGTGAAATACTACCTCTTAGCTCATCATTTCTGCATGAAGAATACTGACCTTTGGGCCAAAGATGGAGTAAGTAAAAGTATTAAACGTATTTATTTAAGCTATCTTATGCTAAACTTATGTTTCCCACTGATAGACTCACTTGAGCGACTACGGTGGTTTACCAATCCTCATTGAGCAAGCCTGGGCAGCCTGCCACCGGGAACTAGAATGTTCTCCAACACCAACTCCCAACCTCCCATGGCCTACCCACAGCAAACAGCCTAAGAAGAAAAAAGTTAGTGCTCCCGTCCATGAACCAAGCCCACATACTCGTGGCAGAGGAAGGCTTTCCACAAAACAACGTTCCCCACGCCAGCGCTATATCAGCCCGTCTGGATTTGAACTAGTTGGGACACTTCACAAAGTGAGTAGTATTTTGGTTGATATACAACTTGTACAACAATTGGTCCTTGTGCCTCAATGCAACCCTATACATGTTTAGCGTGAAAATAACAGATAATTATTATATAACTGTGGTGACAGCATATTGTAATTATGTATTTAATTGAAGAAATATTGTACTTTTTGTCTTTTGTTTATTCGCATATTATTTCTGTAAAATGTAACAAAACGAATGTATCAAAACCAATATACAGCTTCATTCATAACAATTCACTCTGCAATGATAGACCACATATAATTATATTCAATATCAAATACTCCACATAATCTTTGCTTCTTAATGTCAATAGATTGAGTCCACTAAATATGTGTTTTGTTTTTTCACCAGGACTCTTCTTCTAGCCAGTGTTGTCCAGCAACTGCACCGGTGGGTATAACAACAATTGCATCGCTTGTGAGATAATTCAATATGAATTAATCAAATTTTTTTTTTCAAGGTGACTGTATGTGGCTTTCCAATATCACCTCATGTTTTCAGCCATGCTATGGTTGAAAACGTGGATGAGACAGATGAGATTTCATCATCCAGTGACGAAACATCAGCACTCCCAACTGGGACACAGGTTACACATATTTTGATACTTTTTTGTTATTGCTATGAAACAGAATTTTCATGGCGCTCCTTAAATTTTCTTAGATGGGATCACGTAAACGAAAAAAGGTTTTGGTAAAGAAACGCATGGACCACCGAGTAAGTCTTCTTGATTATAATTTTTTATTCTAGCTTAGTAGTAAATGTACAACATAATTTATATACTTTTTGTGTTACAGATCGTCTGCAAAAAACAGGCTGTCTACGACTCTTCCCCATCAACTTCTACATCATCTACTGAGGTTTGAAAATGTTTTCTAAAGTTACTCATCTTGGTGGTAGGTGGATCAGGACAAATACAGTCATAGACAATTAACTCGCCTTTGAGCCCCTGGTCGATGCTCTTTGCAGCAAGGCCCACCAGCGTATGTTCTTTAATCCCAAACTAAAGAGTTTTAATGTCAACAGAAATTTTATGAAAATGTTTTATTCTTGTTTTATTGAATCAGTTTTTACTGATTCAATAAAACTTAAACTCTGCCCCGTGGGTAGAGTTTAAGATGCTCCCCTCTGGCTGCAGATATAGCTCAACTAAATGCAGGACTAACAGATTTAAGAACTCCTTTATCCCTGCTTGCCATTGGTATTTTAAATAGATCACTGTAATTCTGCTGTGTTTCTTTGTGTATATGTGTACCTTTTTGCTGCTGCCATTGCTTCTCGGGGATAATTAAGATACCTTGAACTTGACAAGTATTTTTTATGAATTTTTATATGTAAATATTAGACCAGCGTACATGTCTCCGCGTGTTTACCGTACTGTGTGTAGTACGGGTGCACTGAAATGTTGCGGCGAATGTCTGTCGGATATCCAACTTCAAACTAACTTCACCGCGGTCAGTACCACAGGCTACTAGTGTGAGCCTACTGACCCATCCTACCCTCCTGAGAACCGAAGAAAAAGTGTCTTGCGATTTCTGATTTTTTTTTTGCGATTTCCCATCTATTTGGCCTTAAAAAAGCAACTTACCATTTTTATTTTTTTAAATTTATTTTTTATTTAAATTTCACAGCATGTCCTCGGAGCATTTATAAATACTGTCTTTTGTTAGAAAATAAGAGAAAATTACATCTTTACTGTGACATTCACCCAAGAACACAGAAAAATGTGAATAAAAAAAAGAGTAACACTGTTACAATGTAATGTAAAACATGTATTTTGTCTCAACATTGAACTATAATGCTGCCTAATGGGCTCGACACACGGGAGGCGACATCGCATCGCCTCCATTCATTTTCAATGGGACGTGCGCGACATAGCGTCAATCGCTAGCGAGCCTCCTGCTCAGCGACGGGCAAAAAACGTGCGTGTGAAATCCTCCCGCTCGTGCATGTATCGTGCACGCGCAGGTCAGCGACGCAATCCCAGAAAGTTGAAATCGGCTCAACTTTTCGACGCTGTCGTCAAGCCGCATCGCGCCCCGTCTGTCATGTTATCTGAGCGACAGCGTTGAGTTTCGCTGATCGCTCTCATTTGTCGCCTGCCGTGTGTCGAGCCCTTTAGTCGACTTTCAGTGCAAAGTCAATGGTGACACGTGTTTTAGTGCGACTCGGGACTCACGCATGGACTGCTCAGTAGAGTCTCGCAGAAAGGCGCGGCAGAGGCACAAGAGCGGAAAATTGACGCACGCAGGAGATAAATATTGCTGAACGTTTCCTCGGACGTTCGTGCAGCGACCAATCAGAGAGCTCCAAAGTGGTCACGGAGACATTGTTGGTCTGAGCGAGCAGACTGAACATACTGTAAACAGCCAGTACAGGAGCTACACCAGGACTAAACCAGGACCAAACCAGGACTACACCAAGACTAAACCAGGACTAAACCAAGACTACACCAAGACCAAAACAGGACTAAAACAGGACTAAAACAGGACTAAACCAGGACTGAACCAGGACCGAACCAGGACCAAACCAGGACCAAACCAGGACCAAACCAGGACCAAACCAGGACCAAACCAGGACCAAACCAGGACCAAACCAGGACTAAACCAGGAAAATCTTGATTTCTTGGGCAGTAGTATTTAGTGACGCTCCTGTAGTTAGTAGCTGTCTTTGATTTGTAAAAGCTGCCAGATTCTCAAAGATCTATCCATCCATTTTCTTCCCCTTAATCCATTTCTGGGTCGGGGGGGTGGCAGTCAGAGCTGCACCCGGTACACTGAGCACCAGCCCCTCACTGATCCTCCTGCAGGTGGTGAGTCCACAGGAGCCTTGATCTTTCAGTGGGAGCTTCAGGCAAAGTGGGGTTAAGTGTCTTGGCCAAGGACACAACGACAGTAGACATCAGTGGGAGTCATGAAGTAGGTCTCATGGTGGGTTTGAACCCACAGCCTTCGGGCCCACAGGCCAATGCTCTACCAACACTCTCAAAGATGTACTGTGAAAAGTACTTGATTGGACTCCAACATTCACGGTCATCTTGATAGGCAGGAAGCTCAGGTACCACAGGTCTGAATCTGTTCTGATACACCGAAAACAGACATACATTCAAATAAAGATAGTAGTAACAGTGAAGTTTTTTCACATGCAGGGATTTTCAGTAGTTCAGAGTGTACAGGCATATGTTTCTGCCTGGTATCCTCATGTTGCATGGTTGGCATATTTATTTCCAAATCAAATGGGTTAGTCTCTTCTTCTTCCTCTCCTTCTTCATCACCTTCCCCTACCCTAGGCTAATACTCCTCATCATCCTTTTCTTCATCTAAAAGCTCCAAATCTGATTCTCCCTCAATGATCTAGTAAAGGATTCTCTCTGCTTCACTCCTTGCTCCTACAACAATGTGCAGTCTGTTACATGTGTATGTTATGAGGACCCATGTTTGACAGGCTTTGTACCTGGGGGGACGGATTAAGGCGTGACACTTACCCTGAGATGCGGGGCTGTTAACAGTGCACTACTGGAGTTACAATAAAGTTTACAGTAAGCAACTATACTGCTTTACCCGTCCATTCTGTATAGGACCAGGACAGAATGAAACACAGTCATCAAATACATTAAAATAGTCCTGGCGTCCACTACAGTTGACATACATTAAATGACTATTATTTAAAAACAGAAATAAGTAAACTGTTTTCAGATGTATATACATATTGTTATTTACATGTTAGTGGACACGAATATATATAATGTTCATAGTAAAAATAGCAATACATAGGGATTGTTTTACTTACCGCTCATCTTTCCATAAAATGTGGTTGTTGGTACGGCAGACATTTTGAAAAAGAAAAAAAGTGTAGTTCTCAGCATGCAAACTAATCACATGGCACGTCACTGGAAAGCCCAGGATGTCCCCTACAAAGTACTAGTGAGGTCAGCACTAGATCATATACGGAATCGGGACGGAAGCGGAAGTGAAAATAACCAACTACCTATTCATGCCTAAACTTAAAGTAGTACTAGAATTTAATATGCTGCTATCCAGAATATATAACTACAATATGTGTTTATAATATTTCGGGTGTTCATTTTGATATGTTCAGATGAATTATGTTAAAAAAACTGCTTTGAAGTCGGACCTTTTCACAAACGCTGGGGGGAGCCAAAATGGCGGCGATGACGTAGGAGGAGGGCATCTCAAAGCAGCAGCAGCAGTCTGGGCTGAATCTGTAGGAGGTTTCACTGTCATCTGAACAAGGTATAAACATATTTACATCAGTTTTGTACATAATAGTGTGCAACTCTTTTAATCTTTTAGCCTTATTTGTGAGATTCAAGCTAACTAGTGTTGGGCAAGTTAGCTAACTCTACTTGATATCATAAAACATGCTAACAAGGCTAATATTCGTTTTTACATTATGCCAGTCTCACTTTGCCTTAGATTTATTTACCACAATGTACATTGTAATATCCATAAATGCTAATCAAAATAACTTGAATTAAATAAATATTTTACTTTTATGAACAAAAAGCTGCAGAAGTTGAAAACATAGACTACATGTGATGCAATCATTGATAAAAATGCTAATTAAACCGTTAATAGGTGTTAGCATTTATGGATATTACGATGTACATTGTGGTAAATAAATCTAAGGCAACCAAAGTGAGACTGGCATAATGTAAAAACGAATATTAGCCTTGTTAGCATGTTTTATGATATCAAGTAGAGTTAGCTAACGTGCCCAACACTAGTTAGCTTGAATCTCACAAATAAGGCTAAAAGGTTAAAAGAGTTGCACACTATTATGTACAAAACGGATGAAAATATGTTTATACCTTGTTCAGATGACAGTGAAACCTCCTACAGTTTCCAACCAGACTGCTGCTGCTGCTTTGAGATGCCCTCCTCCTACGTCATCGCCGCCATTTTGGCCCCCCCCAGCGTTTCTATGCGGAAGTGAAAAAGTGCCACTTGAAAGCCGTTTTTTTAACATAATTCATCTGAACATGTCAAAATGAACACCCGAAATATTATAAACACATATTGTAGTTATATATTCTGGATAGCAGCATATTAAATTCTAGTACTACTTTAACCAGCCATTCCCATAAAATAACCCCAACCCAGCCTTAACCCTAAACTTAACCATCTTACTTAAAGAAGCTATACCCGATTTCTTTTCTAAGTAGTTCATAAAAATGCTTTTTACTACATACAAGTTGTATCATAATACATCATTTAATTGAAAACTTGAGGTCATTGATTCAGCTGTGTATGAAATTTATGCCGTGAAAAGTGCTGAGTAGAGTCTTAGCGGGACGTTCTCCTCCGCTCACAGAACCAGCAGTGAACAGTGTCCTCTAGTCTCTACAGCCTGTGTCCTCTAGTCTCTACAGTCTGTGTCCTCTAGTCTCTACAGTCTGTGTCCTCTAGTCTCTACAGCCTGTGTCCTCTAGTCTCTACAGTCTGTGTCCTCTAGTCTCTACAGCCTGTGTCCTCTAGTCTCTACAGTCTGTGTCCTCTAGTCTCTACAGCCTGTGTCCTCTAGTCTCTACAGCCTGTGTCCTCTAGCCTCTACAGCCTGTGTCCTCTAGCCTCTACAGCCTGTGTCCTCTAGTCTCTACAGCCTGTGTCCTCTAGCCTCTACAGCCTGTGTCCTCTAGTCTCTACAGCCTGTGTCCTCTAGTCTCTACAGCCTGTGTCCTCTAGTCCTCTACAGCCTGTGTCCTCTAGCCTCTACAGCCTGTGTCCTCTAGTCTCTACAGCCTGTGTCCTCTAGTCTCTACAGTCTGTGTCCTCTAGTCTCTACAGCCTGTGTCCTCTAGTCTCTACAGCCTGTGTCCTCTAGTCTCTACAGCCTGTGTCCTCTA